GGACAACTGATGGCAAGCTACGGTTATCCCTTTTATTTAGGGGCTGGGAAGGAATGGTGTGGGGTTAGAGATTTGATTAAGGATAAGATATGCTTTATTTCTTTTTTATATAGTTAGGTTTTAAGGATAAGATTTTGTATATATTTAAAGCACAAACTATAGTAGATTTTGGGTGGCTATCAGAAACCATAAAAATAGATCACCCAAAATAGTAGGACATATATATCCTTCTATAGCTTTTGTCATCTTTGTTTGCCTTGAAGCAAAAGAAACACTGCTCAGTGGTGGGTACTCTCTAATAATTCTTAAAAAAAAAAACTCATAATATTTTTTTAATATAAATTATAAAATAAACTAAAATATCCCATCCACCATAAACTATCAAAGATCCAAAATATCCGCAAGTGGCCCTCTACGAGGAATGTTGTCCTTGCATCACGGCGTGGGTTCAAAATTTGTTTGGTTCTATAATTTAACAAATCTATTGTTTTACAACAAAAAAAAATCCTAATTTGGAAGTGTAATTAAGGTGGTGGAATTGCTTTTGAAAGTGCATGGGGTTGTTTGCCAAAAAAAAAAAAAGTGCATGGGGTTTGTAATGGAAGGTTAGCTTGGCCCTAGATCTCACTAGGGTGGAAATTGTTGGAAATTTGTGGATTGGTACAAGTGACAAAATCAGGTGACAATTTCGATCATGATACATTTATTCCAATTCGAAATTTGCATGAATATAAAATTTGATGGGTACGTACAGAGGAACAATATTGTTCACATACTTTAAACACTAATTAAATTATAAATTATCTCATTTTGTTAAGTATAGTATTAGTTAAGGAATTATTATTGGCACTTTAAAAATTTAATTGTGCAATTCTCGTAATTTTTTTTTTCAAAATATAGAAAGTGCACAATTAAATTTTGGACTTTCAATAACAATTCTCTACTAGTTATTGCGTTATATATTATTTTTCAATCAATGTGCCTGCTAATCAATCGTATATCAACATGAACAGGACACACCTATAAATAACTAACCCGAACACAACCCGATTGCTAGCCTGGCCACAAATGTGGGATTATGTGGCTCCAAAAATAATTCATAACATAGAAATGCTAAAGAGACTCGTTTAAAGTGAAATTCTTCATGGACTTTCCGCCACCTCATAGTTTAACGTTAATTCTCATGTCAATTTTATAAAACATTGTGTAAAAAATATAAGATGACAGATGATCCTACTATTAAGAAAGTATCAGTTTTGAAATAATCTCCTTTAACATTTCTCTCCACTCCAAATCAATATCCAAATTTCACACCCACAAACCATTCTGGTGTTGGTGTCTCAGGAAGTTTTAGGGCAAACTGTGACAGCACATCGCCCCCAAAATTAGAAAAATCCCGAAACCCACAAAAACATTATCTATAATAATCCAAATTTGATTCCCCAAAATACCCCTACACATTCCCCAAACTTCACCGGACCCACCCTTTAAAATATACAATTCCCAAAGCCATTTTCCCCACTACCCGTTCCGCTCCATCCAATCGCGGCAAAACCAAAACCTATCACGGTAACATTTTCCCTCGCTTTCCCCTCCCATTTTCCCGGCAACCAAACAGGTCTCGAACCCCCAAGAATGAGAGAAATCCTCCACATCCAGGGAGGCCAGTGCGGCAACCAGATCGGCGCCAAGTTCTGGGAAGTGATCTGCGATGAGCACGGCATCGACAGCACCGGAAGGTACAACGGCGACTCCGAGCTCCAGCTCGAGCGAATCAATGTCTATTATAACGAGGCCACCGGAGGAAGGTACGTCCCACGTGCGGTGCTTATGGATCTGGAGCCTGGGACGATGGACGCGCTCAGATCCGGCCCGTTTGGGCAGATTTTCAGACCCGATAACTTCGTGTTCGGGCAGTCTGGGGCCGGGAACAATTGGGCTAAGGGGCATTATACGGAGGGCGCCGAGCTTATCGATTCCGTGCTCGATGTGGTGCGAAAAGAGGCTGAGAATTGCGATTGCTTGCAGGGTATGGTGAAAATTGAAAACCAAGATTTTGGGTTGAAATTGTTTTTTGGGTTTGTTTTGTTTATCTGATTTGATCGTGCTTTTGGTTTGAAATTGAATCTCAATTGTGTTTGTTAATTCGTTGATTGTTGTTAATATGATTGGATTGGATTGGATATGATATTGTGGTGCTTAATCATGTCTTATTTGGGTTAGCTTGATTGAATGTCTTGTTCTGTTTCCTATCTCTCAAATTATGGCTAATTTTTTTTGTAAATTAAGTTTTTATCCGTTGCGGTTAATCGCATTTTATTTAAATGTGGACACGTCGTTGACATCTGATCGATGTCACAAATATTTGGTCCACAAGTGCAGTTAAGCATAACGTAGAAGGAATGAACAAGAGCGGTTTTGATCGATATCTAGTGTTTCTTTTGAGTTTATAATTTGAATGGCTGATTGGTGTGAATGAAATGATTCAGCTTTGTAATGTTGGCCATGTGTTTTGAACAGGATTCCAAGTATGTCATTCTTTGGGTGGTGGCACCGGCTCTGGCATGGGAACTCTTCTTATTTCCAAGATCAGAGAGGAGTACCCGGATCGAATGATGTTGACATTTTCTGTCTTCCCATCCCCAAAGGTGTCTGACACGGTTGTGGAGCCATACAATGCCACCCTTTCCGTCCACCAGCTTGTTGAAAATGCTGATGAATGTATGGTTTTGGACAATGAGGCTCTGTATGATATCTGCTTCCGCACCCTCAAGCTATCCAACCCTACTTGTAAGTCCAAATCTTAGATATATGGCGGCTGACAAGTGACCGTGATTGTAGAGTTATATAATGATCTTTTTCTGTTTGATTGTATCTTAAGTAAAAAAGATTTTGATAAATCATAGACTGGCATCTTATACTGATATGATATGAGACGCATTTGTATGTGTTTGTGTGAATTCTTATGAGATTTTTAGAAGGAATGTCATGTGATCTCTTAACATTTTTTTTTGCACGGCTAATGCAGTTGGTGATCTTAATCACCTCATCTCTGCTACCATGAGCGGTGTCACATGTTGTCTTCGGTTCCCTGGACAGTTGAACTCTGACCTACGCAAGCTTGCAGTTAACCTTATCCCTTTCCCACGGCTGCACTTCTTTATGGTTGGGTTTGCACCCCTAACTTCAAGAGGATCACAGCAGTACCGTTCTCTGTCTGTGCCCGAATTGACCCAGCAGATGTGGGATGCCAAAAACATGATGTGTGCTGCTGATCCACGCCATGGACGTTACCTTACTGCATCTGCTGTGTTCCGTGGTAAGATGAGCACCAAAGAAGTTGATGAACAGATGATTAATGTCCAGAACAAGAACTCCTCATACTTTGTCGAGTGGATTCCCAATAATGTTAAGTCCAGCGTGTGTGACATCCCACCCAAGGGTCTGAAAATGGCATCCACTTTCATTGGGAATTCGACTTCAATTCAGGAAATGTTCAGGAGAGTTAGCGAGCAGTTCACAGCTATGTTCAGGCGAAAGGCTTTCTTGCATTGGTACACGGGAGAGGGAATGGATGAGATGGAGTTCACCGAGGCTGAGAGTAACATGAATGATCTGGTTGCTGAGTACCAGCAATACCAGGATGCAACTATCTACGAAGAGGAGTACGAAGGGGAGGAAGAGGAGGTTGGTGCTTGATGAATCGTGCCATGGTCGTGGTTTCTCAATTTGTGTAAACTCGTTATGTTTGTGGCTTAATTCGAAAAATTGATTGTTGCTCAGTCAATTTAGATTTGACATGGATGTATGGAATGTGGGAGGGGTCCTTGTATAAGAGATGGGTTTTGTAAAGACGCTTTTGTGTTGGATTTGAATGTTGTACCGAGTAAGGCATATAATGTCGAAACTTATATTTCAGTGATGGAATTTTCTGTCTTGCACCATATGCTTTTTGTATTTGTATTTGTTTTGGTAAAATGGAGCCGCCCAAATACCCATCGTTTCCTTTGCGTGCTATGAATTATATTCGAAGAAAGGGATGCAGTTTAATGTTTTAATTATAATATCGTATATGCATACCAATTTTTTTTTTCATGTTCCATACCGTTGAGTGGCCCGAAACATCAATTGTTTAAATTTTGCATATAATAATTATAAATTTAATTCTTACTTACAAAGAAAGCTAAATTTAGAGTATCTTCAAATGAGATGTCAAAATGTCCACATCAGCAATAACGGTAAAAAAAAGACATTGCTAGTGTTTTCCAAATGAAATGCTAATTTCTATGTGACATGACATGGAAAGGCAGTAGAGAGAGTTGTCAAATTTGAGAGCAGCTTCAAATCTATTTTTAGTAATTGATAAATGCTTTTATAATTTTTATACTTATCTTTTGTTTTAAAATACTAAATGTAACTATAAAAATTAAATAGTGTAATAAAAATAGTGGTTTAAAATTGATATATCGGTTGAAGAACAAAATTTTAAAAAATATTAATGTGCCACATAAGCCTTCAAATTTAAATTTTATGTTTAAAATTTGATATCTAAAGATGGTTAGTTCTTATTTTACGAGTAATGCAAGACTCTGTTATATTTGTCTTGGTTATTCTTAATTTCTTGGGAACTTTAACGAAAAGCTCTCGGTAATGTTTACTTTAACGAAAAACCATATTTTTTATACTAAAAAAAATCAAAACTATTCACTTTACCCTTTATTTTGTCCTTATTAAAACTCAAAGTTTTCAAATCATTTTCAAACCATTTTCGTTAGTTTTCCTTAATTTATTATCTTTTACAGAAAGGAATAATTTCAATTCCGGCACCTGAGTAAAAACGAGGTAATAGATGACAAGCCTTGAGTTAAACAAAAAAATTTCACACGCGGTTAGAAAACGAGACTTTTTCAGTGCACAAAAAATACGAGCTCCACTCTCTGTATAAAAGCAGCAACGTGCTAGGTCTTTATCCACAATTCAAATTTACCCTAATTTCCTTACAAAGTTTAAGCAAACCAAAGAGAGCAAAAGATTTTCGAATTTCTAATGGCTTCTCAGCTTCTTTTGTTGGCATTCCTTGCCGTATCTTCTTCCATTGCTTCGGCATCTGACCCGAGTTCCCTTCAGGATTTCTGTGTCGCTGATAAAGCCTCAGGTAGGCACCTAAGCTAAATCATAATTATATCGTACATGTATGTACATAATATCAGTCAGCTAGTCAGTATTGGAATTATATTTTTTTCTAATGTATTCTTTTCCACCATGATTTTAGTACTGGTGAATGGTTTTGCGTGCAAGGACTCCAAACTTGTCGATGCCAATGACTTCTTCTTCAGCGGACTTCACCTAGCAGCAGGCAACACATCCAACCCAGTTGGCTCACGGGTGACCCCCGTTAAAGCAGTCCAAATTCCAGGACTTAATACTCTTGGTATCTCCATGGTGCGTATCGATTATGCCCCATGGGGTATTAACCCTCCACACACGCATCCTCGCGCTACAGAAGTCTTGAAGTCCTGGAAGGGAGCCTCCAAGTGGGTATTATCACTTCCAACCCAGAAAACCGTCATATCAGCAAGGTGCTTCAGAAGGGTGATGTGTTTGTATTCCCAGTAGGACTTGTTCATTACCAACACAATGTTGGAAATAGTAATGCAGTAGTCCTTGCTGCTCTCAGCAGCCAAAACCCTGGTGCCATTACTGTTGCAAATACAATATTTGGATCAAAGCCTGACATCCCTGCTGATGTTCTTGCAAAGTCTTTCCAAGTGGACAGCAACGTAGTCTTCGATTTGCAGGCAAAATTTTAGAGTCCCATTGGAATCTCCGATTCAATCGAAAGGGATCTGACTTACAGTTCAAGTGAATCATGTTGGTCTGCTATTTTGTAATTTTTGTTATTTTAAGAACAAGGGACTGTAATTGTGTTAGATTCTGATACTTCAAGAGGATAATTTATTTCTCCTCGGATAGAAACGCAATCAGAGTTGATCTATTTTGCTTTATTTGTTTGCTTAGTAGTTAGGGAGGCCTTTCCTCCAAGAGCTTTGCAATCTACAAGACTATATGCATGAAAACCGTTTAATTCTTTAAGCAGTTGAAAGTGGCTGCCTACTATATAGCTAGTTTCCGAACCAGAAATGTCTGTCAAATGCTATACAGATTTGCTTTCTGCGAACTTCACTATCATTACTCCACACATCTATATTATCCTTGTTTTGTGCCTTAGTTCAAGGAATCTGCCCTACTCTTTTCGATATATTCATGTTTTAATCAACAATGGTTGAGCTTGTTTATAAAGAAGGGTTAGCTAGGCAACACAATTTCGATCAATAAGAGATCATCAGGGCTCTTGGATCGGGGGCTTTTCAGCTAATATGGGAGTAGGAGAAGTCCATGAAGTTGAGCTTTGGATAAGGCTGTTAGGAGGATACTTGAGAATCTGAACCTGGTGTTTTAGTTTCACTCTTCAAATGTGTTGTGAATGATTTTGGCTTCTTTTTTACATTGCTGTAATCATTTGATTTTCTCGATTTGATCAATGTGATTTAAGTCATATTTATCGGAAAAAGGAACATGGTGGCTGATGGTTTGACAAAGCTAAGTTTTTCTTTGGATCTGAGTTGTATTACGTTGGATGACTTTTTACCTTTAATTGTTGATTGTTGTAAAATCGACGGTGTGTGCAGTGGAATAAATGAAACAAGACACAAAATTTACGAGGTTCCTCTACTGTCAGTGCGACTGGAGTACGTCATCGAGGCAGTAGTGATGCTGTTATTATAATTTGGAATAATAGGAGTACAAAAATAACTCTCTCTATTATCTCCTCTCATCTTCCTCTCTTTTCTCTCTTCCTCTTCCGTATCCTCCTTACCCTTGATGTTGTTGGGAGTTTGTATTTATATAGAAAATAGGGGTCGTGTGAAGCAAGCCTCAGAAGGGCAACTTGCTCATTATTTTATTCTTTGAGTGGACATCCACTGTTCTATAACATTCCCCCTTGGAAGGCCACAACTTTTCAATTGACTCGTTAAAATCTTGATCTATTTTTTGATGCTCCCCCTGATGAGTAATACCATATATGTTGTGCTTGTTGACTTTCCACAGGCTTGTTCTTGAATTGGGTAGAGGGCCTTCTGCTGGACTTCCTCCAAAGGTCTGAATTTACTTCTTTTATATAGAGCTAAATTTGATTCAAGGGTGGTGGACACTTGATCTTGAATCAGATTTGTGATTTCTTCAAGGACTTTCGAGGCTTGATCTTGAATGAAATTGGACCATGAGGAGCTTTACGTGGCAAGTGATCTTCGGTTTTGTCGGGGATGAACAAGCACGTGTTTGTTGCGCTTGTCTCTACATGCTTTAATGTATCATTTTCACTTGCCTTATCTGTTGCCCTTGCATAAGTGGTATTTTCCCTGGTTTTTCCCCATGCATGTGTGACATCTTCTCTTGTAGTATTTGTCCACTGATGCAGGAGTGGAATGCAAACCTTGCATTTGGATGGTCCATCACTTCTTGGTGACTTGAGACCCAGCTCCATTAACAGTTGAAGATGGCTACTTGAGAGCAATTCTAGGTAAGCAATCAGGAAAGGTTCTGAGCATCCAAAAACAGATCAAGATTTTAACTAGTCAATCGAAGACTTGTAGCCATCCAAGGGGGAGTGTTGTAAAACAGTGGATGTCCACTCAAAGAATTAAATAATGGGCAAGTTGCCCTTCTGAGGCTTGCTTCACACGACTCCTATTTTCTATATAAATACAAACTCCCAACAACATCAAAGGTAAGGAAGATACAGAAGAGGAAGAGAGTAAAGAGAGGAAGAGGATAGGAGATAATATAGAGAGTTATTTTTGTTGACGGAAAAGAATGAGACTCAATATCAACACAGCTCATTGATGAATTTAGTAGCTACTTATAAAAACCAAAATTACCATTGGTTATCATCAATTTGTGATCCCATATTCTTGTGTGCATGCGCATGCATAAAAGCTTTTCATTTCTTTTGGATATCCATTGCATCTTCAAGGGCATTACACTATCTCTTCCAGGATAGTCGTAATTTAGAGAATGCAGATCATAACCTCTTCTTGAGCGTTTTAGAGCTTGGATTTTAATCTCCACTTCCGAGAGTTGAGTCATTAAAACCTATACGTCTATCATGCTTCATGCATGAGACATCAATATTCCTATGTCCATGGATTGTCCTTTCTGGGACGTGTATCCATGCGACGACTGTCATGTTTCTGGCATGCAACAGTTATGCTTTAGGAATGCGATAGTTCAATAGTGCCATATTCTTCTTCTTTCGAAAGACTGAATCTTTTTTTTTAGTCTGAGGGTCTGCCACGCTTCAGGCGTGCAACGGGTAAATAATTTACTGCCTTATTATTTTGTCCAACAGGGACATCAATTCTTGTAGGCACATTTGCAGCAAATATATGTGATTTCATCACTTTCATTGCATCATTAAATGCATCTGGCATTTGATTGATACATTGTTGCATCATTCAATTATTCTTACTTCATTTTCATGTTGATTGCTTCGTGAATCAAAATAAGACAAATTCTCTTCGTTCTTCTGGAATGGTCTTTTCTCATTATTATTCTAGAATGATATTTTCTCATCGTTCTTCTGGAACGATATTTTCTCCCCTTAACAACGGGAAAATTGTTTTATCAAATTGATGGTCCGCAAACCACACGGTAAACATATCCCCAGTTAAGGGTTCCAAATATTGAATGATAGATGATGTTCAACATCAATGCCTAATCCGCGATGATGCCTCATTTCAGTACGTTGTGGCAGTGCAATAGGCACATAGATAACACAACAAAAAACTCGTAAAAGTATAATGTTTGGCTAGTTCCCAAACACGAGTTGTACTGAAAAGTATTGATGGTTGGTAACATGTCTCAACCGAATTAATAATGCATCATGTAAAGTTTACATGTCTCATGTAGAAAACTGGCAATTTCGTTTTCATGAGTAGAGCGCGGGTAATCAATTTCATTCGCTTAATAAATGTTTCTGCTAAATCATTTTGAGTATGGACATAAGGAACTTCTGGTCCTTATTTAATAGTTTGTAGACTGAGACTCTTATAGCCTCTATTACAATTAAGTTGAGGCACTGCGACACTTCAAACTTAAGTATTCATCAAGGAACTTCATGTCATGATCTTGAGGATCAAGGGACTTCATGCCTGATTTTTTTGCATGATGGAACTTCAGGTCCAATCATTTTTATATAATGAGGATCAAGAAACTGCAGGTTCTGATCTATTCAAGGAACTTCGGGTCCTTGTTATATACTCATCGTAACAAAAGATAAGTACAATAAATAAATTAAAGCAATAGGCGGTAATTCCAGCCATAGTAAATAAATTGCATTTAAGTAAATAAAGCTTGTGACAAGGGCTTTAATTCAGCACCATTCACATAAATCAAAACTTAAAGCAGTAGGCGGTAAAACCGTCCATGATAAATAAATTGCTTTAAAGTAAATAGAACTTGTGAAAGTGTTTTAAGCCAACACCATTCACATAAATAACAATAACATGAAATATATATATTTCTTTCTTTGTCTGTCTCTATCAATCTCGAAACCCAGGACGAGCTGGGTTGTTGTGGAGGTCACACAAAACCAATTCAATATAAAAAGGCTACCAGATACTGGCGTTGTTCTTGCATGGCCCAGAGAACATGGCATCGCAAAGCAAGAACCTCCCTACAGAGACATAAATGACAGTGGGGTTGACAGAGGCATAAGAGAGGGAAGCCTGTGTGGAGTTAGTCATGCCATCACCATCTCAGACAACCGAGTATTCATGGGAGTTTTCAAGATCCATTGAAAACGACACGATCTGGGTTTCCAAATTTGATGAGATTCTTCTGGATCTCTGGAAACTAGTTGTCAAATACAAGTTTTCTTATCTCGTGACGACTTCAAGTTGTAAATTTTAATTCGCATCGGAATTCGGTGGGCGCTTCAGGCACTGTGGGAGAGATGAAAAATGGACATACCTTTGCTTGTTTTGCTGCGCCTTTGTTTGTCTATAGGATTTCTCCATCTCTCTTGTCCACGAGAGAGATACGAGATTGCAAGTTGTGTCTGGCTTGCCGTCTCTCCTCTGTTTTTTCTGGTGCTACTTCTCAGAGCTAAACTGCTTCTAGTACCGCAAGTTCGACTTGTGTTTATCCGAATTTATGGCGTTATGCTTTCCATTGATATGAGAGCTTCTCGTGCTGATAACGTGTTGTAAAATCGACGGTGTGTGCAGTGGAATAAATGAAACAAGACACAAAATTTACGAGGTTCCTCTATAGTCAGTGTGACTGGAGTACGTCCTCGGGGCAATAGTGGTGCTTTTATTTTAATTTGGAATAATAGGAGTACAAAAATAACTCTCTCTATTATCTCCTCTCCTCTTCCTCTCTTTTCTCTCTTCCTCTTCCGTATCTTCCTTACCTTTGATGTTGTTAGGAGTTTGTATTTATATAGAAAATAAGAGTCGTGTGAAGCAAGCCTCGGAAGGGCAACTTACCCATTATTTAATTCTTTGAGTGGACATCCACTGTTCTACAACATTGATTTATTTCTAGATGATATTTTTGGGGTTGTTAGGACTCGGGCTATTTGTGTAAGGCCCTTGGGTTGATGTATTTCTTTGTTTAGCAATTCTACTTTAGGCTCCTTCTGTAAAAAAAAAAAAAAATCATAAAAAAGTCTATAATTAAAAATTAAAAATATCATTGTGGGCCTCAGGTGCATGCCGCACAAGCACAATGGGTGAAAAGTAAACAGAGTTAAACTTGAGGATTATTGCTCCACATTTTGTCAAATTTAGGTATCAAATTTAATAATTTTTAGTTCAGCGATTACTATTCTACTTAAGCCATAATTCAGGTGCCATTTTTGCAATTTCTTCGTTGATATTCCTCTTCATTTGTAAATGAAGAGGTCTAAGGTTCGATTCATGCCAGAGCAAATTCGAACCACATTATTGCTAGCCTATTATAAGACTAAGTTTAACCCATTTCCCTTAGTATAGATAATATCGTTTGTTAAAAAAAAAAAAAAATTACTAGCTAGCTTGATTCCAACATATCATAAAAAAAATGCAGGAATCAGATAACATATTTAATATAGAAGTTAAACATTTTTTTAAAGTTTCATGCCTCTGCAAATTACGTCATATTGAATATATATGCGTCCCCTACTCCACACTTTATCTTAGTTTGTTTAAGTCAAAGCAAGCAACAACCAGCTTTCAAAGCAAAATTTGCCTGAAAACAAAAAGAAACCTCCAACATCAATTGTCCACAATATTCTACTTTATGCTTCCTGCTGCATACAGAATAGAATATTTGTAGTAATCATGCTTATTGAATAAGATTTTCTGAATGTATGAAATCTGTACTCTGTTAAATGGAGAAAGAGCAGAGAAAAGGATGTCAATAAGAGTGTTTAAAATTTATTCTAGAAGGCCAATTCAAATTTGCGAGCAATATATTTCTTCATCAAATTTGCACTTCCTGTTACATTGTTGTTGTGTACTTGGAACACCGTAGTATGATGTCATAATTCCACTTGTAACGCCTGTATTCATTTTAACTATTAATATAGCTTAGAAATAGAATATCAACCATTTCGTTCATCTATATTATAATACGTAAAAAAGTACACCTTGCGCCAAGTGTAGGGACATCAAAACTTCTTGCGTAGAGAGAAAGGAAATGTTCCTCAATGCCAGCCGGCCCAGCACCAATGCCGGCACCTGAAAAAATAAAGTTATCAGATAAGTGATGACATATACATGCACAAGCACCAGCTTCCTATGAAAAATTTGTACTATGCGGTTACAAATTAAGACTAGACTTTTTCAGTTCATAGGAAACAATACATGTATGCAGAGGTACTTCTCTCTATAAAAGCAGAGACATAGATGGGGTTTCAATCCACAATCCTCGCTCTTACAAGGTTTAAGCAAAAGTTGGTCAATTTCTCTCTGCTTACTGTCTTGATCAAATGGCCTCTCAGTTCCTATTTTTCGCATTCCTTGCCGTAACTTTTTCCGTTGCTTTGGCATCGGACCCGAGTTCTCTTCAGGATTTCTGCGTGGCAGATGCAACGAGCTCAGGTAGCTAAAACCGCCTTCTCGTACATTTTCCATTGTAAATATGTCCCACAAATAAATACATCCACCATAGATATCAATTGGTAATTATGTATGCTGCTAATGTTAATGTACTTTTTCTCATCATGGTTTCAGTTCTGGTTAATGGTCGTGTTTGCAAGGACCCTAAGCTTGTTGAAGCCAACGATTTCTTTTTCAGTGGGCTTCACCTAGCAGGCAACACATCAAACGCAGTTGGTTCACGTGTGACTCCTGTTGGTGTAGCTCAAATTGGAGGACTTAATGCCCTTGGCATCACTGCTGCGCGTATTGATTTTGCCGCATGGGGTCTTAACCCTCCACATACACACCCTAGAGCTACTGAGATTTTGACAGTCCTGGAAGGGAGCCTCAAAGTTGGTTTTGTCACCTCGAACACTGAAAACCGCCTCATCACCAAGGTACTTCAGAAGGGTGATGTTTTTGTGTTCCCAGTCGGTCTTGTGCATTTCCAGCAGAATGTTGGAAATGGTAATGCAGTTGCCCTTGTAGCTCTCAGCAGCCAAAATCCAGGTGTCATTACCATTGCAAATGCAGTATTTGGATCAAATCCTGATATCCCTGCTGATATTCTTGCAAAGGCTTTCCAAGTGGATACGAACGCGATCTACAGTCTTCAGTCCAAGTTTTAGAATAAATTCCAATTTGGAACCTCTGATTAAATCAAAAGGGATTTATAGCTCATTTGAAGTGTCCTAGAAAATTGTTACAGTTTGTTTTTCATCGCAGTCATGTTGGTTTACTGTTTTGTTTGACTCAAAAGATTTAATTTGTTTATATGCTCATTTGAAATGTTGTTGAAACCTGATATCCCTGTTGGTCATGTCGGGATAAGGCCGTTTTGTTGTTGTATGCTCTTTTGAAGTGTGATCAAGTTGTTATTTCTTTATTCCATTGATCCAAGATATAATAAAAGCGGATGTTTGCTACCAACTTCAAGTAAAACATGAGCGCTTTGAGTTTGGAAAACTGTTTCGATTTGTTTAGGCCAAAAATGAAAAGGCTTTTCATTTCTTTTTAAGCATGCAAAATGCACTTCATTTAGAGGCGCAAAAGCCCAACCAAGAAGGATTACTGCTATGAGGAATATTGGCGTCCTTCAATCCCCAAATATCTACGTCAGTCACAAGCTAGGCTCTTCTCGACGTGCCTCATACTATCGCCTAACTGTCATGGAGTACGATTTTGGGCAGTGGTATCTGTTAAAGAAATCAACCCCATCTCATTGAAAGATCTACACAAATCTAGAATAAAAAATTCTAGAATGTTCACTAAAGTTGGTTAGCTAGATTAAAGTAGTCCTTTGTAGAAAGGACTAGAAGGTTGTTCCTTAAGTTGGTGGAAGAGTCTAGAAGAATGGTGAGGTTTCCACCAACATGCAAGATTAATGTAGATAATTCTAGCTTAGGAAGTTAGTGGAATTATCTAGGTATCTCTAGCATGATGTTTCCATGCTTCTCCAAGGTTCCATCCATGCCTATAAAAGAAGGCATCCATACCATTTGTAACAATCAACCAACCAAGTAAGCTTGTAACGAAGAAGTGATCAGGCAACCAAGTGAGAGTGAGAAGCAATAATAGTCTTGCAGGAGTGTGAGTGATCTAGAGTGTGTCTCTAGAAAGTGTGAGTGTCATTGCTTTTCGAGTGTCTTTAAGAGTTTTGAGTTTCGTAATATTTTGTGTGTGTAACACAAGTAATTTTTTTACTTGTGTTGTCTCTCCAACACTTGAGTTAGAGTTGTGTACTCTAAGTTTTTCCCTAACGATTGGTATCAGAGCGGTACGATCAGGGACCGTCTAGTGAAACTTTCGAGAATCGTGAGAAGTTTAGTACTTCGCAAGATTATTAGTTAATCTTGTTCGGCTTATTGAAGTTCTGCTGATTCGATGGGAGATCTTCAAGTTGTTGGAGCAATCAAGAAGTTGAACAACAAAAATTACAACACATGGGGGACATGTATGGAGTCTTACCAAGATCTTTGGGATGTCATTGGTGGTAATGAAGTTACGCAGCCGGAAGAAGACATCAGCGACACTTTGCGGAAATGGAAGATCAAAGTAGGTAAGGCAATGTTCACCTTAAAAACTATAGTTGAAGATGACATGTTAGAGCATATAGGGAAGGCCAAGACACCAAAAGAAGCGTGGGACACCTTCGCCACACTCTTTGCAAAGAGAAATGATACAAAGCTGCAGCTTCTCGAGAATGAGTTGTTATCGGTGGCCCAACGAGACATGATGATTGCCGAGTATTTCCACAAGGTAAAGTCAATTTGTCGTGAAATTTTTGAATTAGATCCTAGTGCTGCCATTGTAGAATCCAGGATAAAAAGAATAATTATCCATGAATCAAGACCCGAATATAGAGGCCTCGTTGTCGCTGTACAAGGATGGCCGACCCAACCATCACTTGTTGAGTTAGAGAATTTGCTTGCCGATCAAGAAGCTTTGGCAAAGCAAATGGGAAGGGTCTCGTTAAAAGGTGAGGAGCAAGCGCTCTGCACCAACAGTAAAGGCAGCTTCAAACAGCGTGCTGGTGGAGGATCTAAAAGAAATGGTGACAAGGAGGAGGGAGTTCTCGACCAGGGGGAGCTTCGAAGTATCACGGCAACCGTGGTTAGTCCCAGAATAATAAAGGTTTGAGGGCAAGTGCTACAATTGTGGAAAAAAGGACCACATGGCGAAAGAGTGCTAGTTCAAAAAGCCCGCAGAGAGTAATGTCGCCAACTCAAAGAAGAAAAGTGAAGATGATTGGGACGTCATAGCATATCTAGCTATGGAGGAAGAATTGGACCCTGAAACATCTTCTTGGTGGTGCTCAGAAAATGAGGTGTTGCCTGACTCGAGAGAGATTGAAGATACGTTGCAGGAGAAAATGGGAGACCAAGCTGCCTAAGTTTAATCGAGTCCAGATGAGCTCGAAGATTTGCTTGATAGAGACGATGTTGAGCAAGAAGTGCCTAAGAGTCCTTGGCAAACTGGTGTGTATCAACTACCAGGAGAAGTTAGACCTAGTGAAGTGGAAGTATCAACTCCATGATCACAACTAAGGAGGTCAACGGGAATAACGAAGCCAAATCCCAAATACGCCAACACAACCATAGTAGAAGAAGCAGTTGAAGCTGAGATGCGTAAAAAAGCATCATAGAATTTTGAGTGGTGTAAAGCTAGGAGAAGAGGTCGCCGCATTAAAGAAATATCAAACTTGGGATCCAGTGGCAAGGCCAAGAGATGTGAAACTCATATCATGCAAATAGGTGTTCAAGATAAAGCGTTGTCAACCCAGCGTAGAGAGAAGAATGAGATGGTGTTGAGGGTGAGTGTTAAGGAAATCAACCCCATCTCATTGAAAGATCTACACAGATCTAGAGTAAAGAATTCTAGAATGTTCACTAAAGTTGGTTAGCTAGATTAAAGTAGTCCCTTGTAGAAAGGACTAGAAGGTTGTTCCTTAAGTTGGTGGAAGAGTCTAGAAGAATGGTGAGGTTTCCACCAACATGCAAGATTAATGTAGATAATTCTAACTTAGGAAGTTAGTGGAATTATCTAGATATCTCTAGCATGATGTTTCCATGCTTCTCCAAGGTTCCAACCAAGTAAGCTTATAATGAAGAAGTGATTAGGCAACCAAGTGAGAGTGAGAAGCAAGAATAGTCTTGTAGGAGTGTGAGTGATCTAGAGTGTGTCTCTAGAAAGAGTGAGTGTCATTGCTTCTAAAGTGTCTTTGAGAGTTTTGAGTGTTGTAATATTTTGTGTGTGTAACACAAGTAATTTGTTACTTGTGTTGTCTCTCCAACACTTGAGTTAGAGTTGTGTACTCTAAGTTTTTCCTCAACAGTATCAATCCTGCTAGTACCTATCATGCAGAACCAAACAACAGAGTAACCACTGAAAAGTATGTTCCTCCAAGGATTGGTTCTGAATTCATTCTTGCGAACGTCAAACAACTCAAACCTCATTTTAATCAAGTTGCAGACTTGTAGTAAACCTACTCCGCCTGGCTCGGCCTAACATGACCAATAAAGGAAATGACACCCCAATTTTTTAGATTTCATTATTTTTAAAAACTACAAATTATTTTCAAATTGAATACCAAATAACCCTAAGCAATTGAAAGTGCTTGGTTGCCACTAGCTAGTCTCCGAAGCAGAAATGTTTATCAAAATGATGACAGGTTTGTTTGGTATCGTTCTTTTGTGAATATATATATAATTCAAGGAACATGCATACTCTTTTCGATATTCATGCTTTTAGCAGAGGTTAAGCTCGTTTATAAAGAATGGTTACCTAGGCAACAAATGGATATACACAATTTACATCAATATATGGAAAGCTTCTCCTTTTTGTTTTTCAAACTATATGTAGGAAGTACATATATATAAACCTGTACATCACATTGAGTTTTCCACATATATAACATGGTCCTCATTCTTTGGAGTTTCAACTCTCTACCCACAGAGAGTTGAATAAGAAAGCTTGAGCCCAAAATAAATGGCAGAAGCCTGGAAGTTATCAATTGCAAGTCTGCATACCCTGCAACATATAAGAATCAGCAAAACCAAAACTCACTCTCAACACGCCTACTCATGAGTGGAGCGTATGGCCCTTAGACCTAATTAACTAACATGGTCTCTTAGCGGACTACCCCTGCGATGAGACCATGTTAGATAAAATGAATGTGTATCTATTTTGTTAGAATGGTCTGCAGCCTAAATTAATGCATTTCTGATGTCTGATGTACTTAGGGTTTATCTCTGCATGGCGCAGAATGATCTATGATTTCATTTAAAAACAAAAGGAATAGTAATCTAAGTACTATAGGTGGTTCCAAAAAATCATCATAAAATAATAGTAATCTAAGTTAAACAATTTTTTTAAGGTTTATTTTTGTATGCAAATAACATGTCCCTATCTACTCCAACTTTATCTTAATTTGTTGATCAAGTCAAATTAAGAGAACCAACTTTTCAACCAAACTTTGCTCGAAAACGAAAAAAAACCTCCAATATATGAATAGTCCATAATAATCTGTTTAATGCTTCCAGCTGCATGTAGAATAATAAAATATTAACCATATTGATAAAATAAGATTGGCTGAGTAGAATACATGTATATAATAATTTGAAATCTATATTATTTTTGTTAGAGAACAAGCAGAGAAATAGCTGCTAATTAGTACAATTTTTTTGAGGAACTTTAACGAAAAGCTTCCGGTACTGTTCATTTTAACGAAAAACCACATTTTTACACTAAAAAGTCAATCTTGATACTATTCACTTTATCCTTTATTTTGTTTTTGTTAAAACTTAAAGTTTTCAAGCTCTTTTCATTAGTTTTTTTTTTTTTTCTCCCAGAAAACCAATTCAAAGTCAAGAAACAGGAAACATTCCTCAATGCCAGCAGGCCCAGCATCAATGCCGGCACCTGAAAATAAAGTTGTCAGATAAGTGCCATGACACACAAGCAGCGGCCTTCAGTGTAGAATATAAAAATTAAAATTTTGTACTACGCGTTTTCAAATTTAAGACCAAATCTTTTCATGAGTTTATAGTAAGCAATACATGCAGAGAGATCCTTCTCTCTATAAAAGCAGAGATATAGATAGGGTTTCAATCCACAGCTCAAATTTATCCTCGCTCTTACAAAGTTGAGCAAAGTTGGTCAGTCTCTCTTCGCTTACTGCCTTGCTCAAATGGCCTCACAGTTTCTATTTTTTGCATTCCTTGCCGTAACTTCTTCCATTGCTTTGGCATCGGATCCGAGTTCTCTTCAGGATTTCTGCGTTGCAGACGCAATGAGTTCAGGTAGCTAAAATCGTTTTTTCGTATATTTTCCGTTGTACATGTGTCCCAAAAATAAAAAAATGCATCATAGGTATCAATTGGTAATTATGTATATGTTGCTAATGTTAATGTA